TTCAGTTCATATTGGAATAGTTTGACCGTAGACAAGGGTAATGTGGACTGTTTGGCGTACATTTCGTGGGCGCAAGCGAAACAAACGATGAGTCATCAGGAAAAACGACCTTGGGCATCGCGAACAGTTCGGTGACGCGATCGGCATCGGTCGACTCCCAACGCTGGAACGCCCCACGCCATTGGTCGAAACAATCGCTATTCATCGGTCTATTTTTAGTTCTGACATCACACAATCGGTCGGTGGTTCTGAGAAAGGGTATCCCTACAGTAGTGACTCATCCAGAGAATATTTCTCGTAATATACAGGTTGAACAAGTGTCCGTGACCTGTCAAATGTTGTAAATAAATCAGAGTTTGGAGTTTCGGTTGTTTTCCTGTCCGATTCTCGCGTTAGTTTTGTAGCAGCTGTTTATTAAGTACAGCTTTCAAGGCTGAATTCGGTCTGTGATAAGGACAACTTTTGATATCGGTCCGCTATGTTAATCAAAATGGAAATGAGCGACGGCATGTCTTACAATTCGGATTTTTCTAATGACAGCGACAATTCACAATCTTCCACAGCTGGACTGAAAATGGACAGTAGCATTTTATTTACATCCAACACGGTAAGTGTTTTAAACTAAATTTTACATTGTTATTACTGGATAAATTCTGATTTATTTTCCTGACTGCGTGTATTTGTTATGATATTCTTATCTTTCCTGGGTCTCAGTCAAAGTGTGAATCAAACATGTTGACACATCGTTTATTTCATTACGTTTCGGCAAGACAACAGCGCCATCATCAGATTTAAAATTTACACAAACTACAAACACCAATTCACAATTAATACATTTTGTATAAAAACTATAATTTACAAAGTGTTAAAACATTCATCAGTTTTTGAGGGAAAAAATCCTTCCTTTTGGGAGAGCAAAACACTGGAAAAACTTATCTCATGATTGGTAAAAATCAGATTCTTTTAGGTCTTTACCTTCTTGAAACCTTAAATTTGTCTGAATTATTTTCTACATTTGCGAGAGTAGTATGTATGTAATGAAATAAGCAGAAATACTTTTAATTTTTCACCAGTGTACTGGGTGTTTCATACTTATGGCTTTATTAGGGTTTGGTAAATGTTGCTAAGGTTGTCGGTATCTGATCTGAAATTTACTGCTTTTGTAT